GAGGGTTTCGGCGAGGAGGTTAAGGTAGTGATCGGAGAGCTTTTGGAGGTTTCGGGGCTGCTTTTCGTCGATTTTGGGGTGAAAGATTCACGGCTTTGTTGGCGGCTCGAAGTCGTACACGGCAGCTCAAGGGAGTGCCGGAGGGGAGCTCGGTTTATCAGTTTGGCGTCGCTGAAGGAGGATGTGATGGTTTTCTAGAGATAGATGGGGGAATAGGGAACTCTCGGGTTATGAGAGATAGGATTGGTGGATTTCGTGTGAGGGAGATGAGAGTAGCACAAGAGAGACCCTAGAAGGAAAATGGGAGCGGGTTTGCAAGCTTTCGTGCATGTGAGAGTGACAAAAGAAAAAAATTTTGAAGAATATGGGTGTTCAGATTTACTTATTTTTTTATAATTATTTTATGCATATTTTTTTGAGGTGGCCAAACGTGGCAAAGGCATGTGTAATATGAACGGTGGGCTTTGGCAGGAAGGAAGATTAGGTTTAATGCATATCCATCTATATATTACTTTATTTTAAATTTCTGTCTTGAATTACTTGTCATTAACTCGAGTGTAGGAGCTATGCAATATGGGTGTTCTCCCTAAACAAATTCAATGTTTCAGACGTGTTCGCTCAGTCTGTTTTGCAATCACAGATCATTTCGACAACTTCAGTGATGATCGATGCAATTCATGCTCAAATTATGCACGTCGCTTCGGATGCCTGTCGATTTTAGCGTGTTTGCTCCTTTCAATTGTAGAAGGCTCATCCTTAAGCAATTTTGATAATTCAGATTTGCTCGTGCAGTTTATTTTGTGATCAGAGGTTGTTTTGGTGTTCGTCGACGATCGAGGTGAGTTAATGTGTGGTGGATGTAAAACTCGATATTGTTTAGCTAAATGACAAATCTCACATTTGAAACCAGATAGATTTTTATTAGCAAACAACAAATGATACAACTGTTTTAAATATTGAAAACAGGGGTGACCCAATCGACAGTGTAAAAGTATAATAGGACATTTAGTGGACTGGGAAAGAATACAACTATTGGATAAAGTGACCCCGTTAATACTGCTTTTTCTGACTACCCGTTTAGCAATTCCAATTATCCTCTCCTCGAACGATGATCCTGAAAGATGCAAACATCAGAAGAAAATTTAACAACACAATCAAGGCTATATGTCAACTTATTGACTGGCAAGAGGTTACACTTTAATGAAGACACATGTAACACAGATTCTAAAGCCAGGTCTGATGTTAGAACAACAGACCCCTTACCCTTAATGAAGCAATGGGAGCCGTTAGCAATATTAACGACATCTCTCCCAAAGCACGGAGGATATGTCGAGAAAGTTTGAGAACATCCGGTCATATATTCCGTGACTTCTAAATCAATAATCCGCGGACTAGAAATAAAAACAATGAGTGCCATCAGAATGCTACCTTGGCAAACATGGGAGGTCGACGGGTCGGAAGAGGACCGATTAGATCCTGGTAGTTTGATCAGGTGCTCCATTTGACTCTTAATGGAGTATGGTGATTCTGGGCTGTTCTATGTGGGAGCCGGCTGTACTGTTGTCGCTTCTAAGATCGTAGTGAAGCCCTTAACAACGAAGGATTTGGTTGAAGGTTTATTCGTTGGTATC